GATATATAGGCTATAAGGGTAAAAGGCGCCGAGCCGTTTACCCTTATTAACCTATATAATAAAAAAGAGGCTAAAAGGGCCCTAGCTAGCTATAGCCGGTAAGGGCCCCTTACGATAAAAAGGCTACTACTAATAGCCTAGCTCCTATAGCAGCCCTTTCTATTAGTAGGGGACTTTAACCTATACTACCCCCGGTAGAACCTATTTATAGAATCCTCTAAAGCCCGTAAGGCAAAAGCCCTTATTAGCTAGCTCGACCGCTATAAGGCCTCCTTACTAACGGACCTTATAGTAGCTATAGAAGGCACCTACTAGAGGGAAGGCTTAGAAGGGACCTCGGTTATAGACCTTACTTTCTATAGCCCCTTTAAGTAACTAACCTAGGCTAACTTCCGCTTCCTAGAGGCTATAGGCTTAGACTATAAGCCTATAGCCTTCGAAGCTAGCTTAAGGGACCCTAATAGGCCCCTACTAGCTAGGCCTACTACCTATAACTATAGGAAAGTAGACTAAAAAGCCTTCTTAGAATACTTAGCTAAGAAGGAATAAGACCTCCTTATAGCTATAGAGAGGGCTATAAAACGAGACGACTTAGAAGGGATAGCCTCCCTTTTAATAAGAACCCTTATAAAGGCCTCTAACGTAGCGATACCGAAAAAGAGGCCCTATAAGGGATCTAAACCCTAGTAGACCGACGAGCTAACCTCCCTTTAGAAAGCCCTAAGCCTAGCCTAACGGGCTTATAGGCTAGCCTAGGACAAGGAGAGCTAGAAGAGCTTTATAGAGGCCCGAAATAGCTTTAAGTACGCTATTAGGGCTGCTAAAAAGCAATACTAAGAGAGCTTCCTAGTAAAAGTAGTAGGAAAGGATGTCTTTATAGCCTTTTCCTATACTAAGGCTAAAGCTAACCTTACCCTTCTAAGTATCTTATATATAAAAGAAGGGATAAAGGTAAAAGCTAATACCTTTATAGAAAAATACGAGGCCTTCCTAACGACCCTTTTTCCGACCCCGGACCCTAGCCCTAGCCCCCCTAGCCCCCCCTAGAGCCTAGAAAAAGAAGAGCCCCCGGGCCCTATAGGTAGTAAGGGCACGGCTAAGTAGGACTAGTAAGAGCTAAAGGACCCTAAGATTAAAAGGGCTATCGTTATCTCTTCTAATAAGAAAGCCCCCGGCCTAGACTCCCTTAGCTTCCTTCCTATCTAACACGCGTATAAGGTTATTCCTATAGTCTTTAATAGGGCCTATAAAGCCCTATTTAACTAAGGATATTACCTTAAGGTATAGAAGAAAGCTATAGGAATTATACTCCCTAAGTAAAATAAGCTAGACTATACTATCCCTAAAGCCTATAGGGTTATAAGTCTACTTAACTGCTTAGGGAAGGTCCTCGAAAAGCTATACGCTACCTAGCTAAGCTACTTAGCTAATACGGCCGGGCTTTTAAACCCTACGTAGCTAGGGGGACGAAAACAGCGGTTAGCTATCGACACGGCCTTCCTCCTTCTATACTACGTTTAAAAGAAGCAGGAGTCTAATAAGAAGGCTATTACTAGCACCCTCTTATTAGATATAAAAGGCGCCTTCGACTTCGTATCGAAGGAATAGCTTATAAGGGTCCTAAGGGAATTAAACCTCCCTAAGGCCCTTATAAGCTAGGTAGACTACTTCCTTACTAAAAGGAAGATCTAGCTAGCCTTCGAGGGGTAAACCTAGTCCCTAACGGACCTAGTAATAGGGGTACCTTAAGGGTCCCCTATTAGCCCTATCCTATTCCTCTTATATATAAGGAGGATACTAGCGGCTAAGGGGTACTAGCTATCCTATATAAACGATTTTAGTATCTCTATAACGTCGACCTTAGCTAAGAAGAACGTCTAGTAGCTAGAAGCTATAGCTACTAACCTATTTAAATAAGCTAAGGACTAAGGGGTCTATTTCGACCCCTCTAAGACGGAACTTATCTACTTTAGTAGGCAAAGGCAGCCTATTTTAGAGGGTATAAGGTAGGGGGCCTATTTTTTAAAGCGAAGCCCTTAGTACGGTAGCTAGGGGTCTTCTTCGACTCTAGGCTCCTATTTAAATAATATATCGAAAAGAAGGTAGCGTCTATATAAGCTGCCTTCGAAGGGCTATCCCGCCTAGTTTCTATATAAAGAGGCCTATCGTTTAGAGCTTTAAGATAGCTCTACTAGGCCTACGTAACCTCGATAGTAGACTACGGGGCCTAGCTTTAGTATAGGGGGCCTAAGACCCCTAGGAGCCTAATAAAGCCTTTTTAAAGGCTTTAGAACTAGGCCCTTCTAAAAGTCCTAGGGGCCTTTAAAGGATCCCCTATTAAGGCCCTAGAAGCCGAAGTAGCCCTCCTACTACTAGAGGTACGGTTTAAAAAGGCATGCCTCTCCTATACCCTTCGAACCCTATACCTCCTACTAAATCACCTTATAAGGTAGGCTTATAACCTAGCCGTACGGGACGACCTCGCCGACTTAGGCTCTGACCTAGGAGCCCTAAGCTATATTAGGCCCTATACGTAACTCTTCCGCCTCCTTAAAGGCCTAGTAGCTATTATAGGGCCTAACTATAGCTTAGAAAGAAGGAAAGCTAGCTAGGAGCCCCTATAGGCTCTAGAGCCTAAGGCCTCTATTATAATAATAGAGGCCCCTAACTAAGCCTCTAGCTAAGAAGTAGCACTAACGCCTCTTAGCTAACTTAGCTAGCTTAGAAGACTTCGGGCTACGGCCCTTAGTCTTCTATACCGATAGCTCTAAGGGGTGCCCTAAGGGGTCCCCTATAGAGACTAACGCCTACTCCTTCTACGAGATAGGCCTAGAAAATAAGCTTAGTAAGGCGTATTACGAGAACCTAGGGCCCTTTATTAAAGTAGCCGACGTAGAGCTATTCGCGATACTAAGGGTCCTAAAGGACCTAGCTAAGAGGCCTCGGCCTCTTAGGTCTAGCCCCCTTAACCCCCCTATAAAGGCTTATATCTTTATAGATAGCTAAGCCGCTATATAAAAGGTTAAGGGCTACTCGGACCTCGCTATACGTATTAAAAGGCTCTTAACTAGCCTAGAGGCCTTCTATAATATACGGCTATACTAGTGCCCTAGCTACCTAGGGATCTTCGGTAACGAGCTAGCCGACTAGCTAGCTAAGAGAGGCCTAGGGGCCCCTACGTAAGGGACCCCTATAGTCTTTATTAGCTACTTATAAAGAAAGGTCTAATAAGCGGCTAAGGACTACTAGAAGGGCCTCTAGGCTACCGAGGCAGCTAAAGGCCCTAAGGCTAAAGGCTTAGGTAAGCACTATACGTCTATTTAAAAGACCCCCCGCTTAGCCTTTAGCCCGGAAAAGGACGTTATAAGAAGGCCTAGGCCGACCCTTTCGGCCTACTACTAACTTCTCCTTAGGGCCGGCTTCCTATTATCCTTCTTAAAGAGGGTTAATAAGGTAGGCCGAGACGACTACCGCTACGGCTAAGGAAGGTATACGGCTAGGCACCTTATCTTAAGGTGCCCGAACTATAGGAGGGAAAGAGAGGTCCTATACTAGGCCTCGAAGGGATAGAAGGAGGCCCTTAGCCTACCTTTTCTCTATAGTACTAAGAAAGGAAGGGAAGCCCTTCTAACCTTCTTAGCTAAAATAGAGATAGGAACGGCTAAGTAGCTTAAAAAAGAGTAACCTAGGGGCCCTAGGGCCCTTAAGGGGGAAAAACACCGTATAAGAGGAACTAAATTAACCTTTCCTTTATCTTTGCCTTTATAGCTACCCTTTCCTTAATTAGTTATAAGCCCCCGGGCTCTATAGCTAGCTAGGACTACTAATAGGGGCCTAGGCCCTTATTAGCCTCGCTATAGCCCTAGAGGCTATATACGAGTAATAATATAAAAAAAATTTTACTTTAAGACTTAAAGCTATAGCGAGACCGACCTAACGATACCCTCGAGCTAGCTAGACCTTTAAGAGATAGAAGGGGGCCCTTAGCCTACTTATTCTCTATAGCTCTAAGGAAGAAAGGGAAGCCCTTCTAACCTTCTTAGCTAAAATAGAGATAGGGATAGCTAAGTAGCTTAAAAAGGAGTAACCTAAGGGCCCTAGGGCCTTTAAAGGGGAAAATTACCGCGTTGGAGGAACTAAACTAACCTTTTCTTTATCTTTACCTTTATAGCTACCCTTTCCTTAATTAGTTATAAGCCCCTAGGCTCTATAGCTAGCTAGGACTACTAATAAGGGCCTAGGCTCTTATTAGCCTCGCTATATCCTTAGAAGCTATATATAAGTAATAATATAAAAAAATAAAAATAAATAAAAAGAGCTAGCCGTATAGCTAGTATTATAGCTAGCATTATAGCTAAGAGGCACGTAGAGGCGGCTGCCGCGGTCGAGTTAAGCTAGCACCCGCCGGCTTAACGCTAGCGTGCGCCGCATACGTATATAAGCCGAGATCGACGAACTATAAAGAGCAGGAGGCAGTCGGGGCTCTAGCCGGCCGTTACGAGGAAGATCGCGTGCGCGCGCAAATACATAGGCAAGGGGATCTCGAGGGAGACAAGGCAGGGGTAGAAGGGCTACGCCGGCCTCGTCGGTAGAGGAGGTCATCCCAGCTACGCAGCCTACGTAGCCTAGGCCGGACTAATAGCCGGGCCGTAACGTGCGTAATATTCGTATATCGCGAAGATGCGTTATTTAAACGAATTAAGCTATGTGCGCGTTACACGATTAAAGAGAACGCGTAGGGAAGTGGTCTAAAGCGTACCAGGCGTGCGCAGCTAATTTAGGTGTGCGGGTATAAGTATATATTAGAATTATAAGAAGGCTTTTTCTTCTTTAATCCTTTCCTTTCTTTCTAGTATAGTCTTAAAGTCTACGTAGTATTATAGTAGATTACGTTATAAGCTAGCGCTGTTCCTATCGTTAGGCGACCTCTCCTACCCTTTCAAAGACCCACGATAGCAAATTACTCCGTTTCCACGCCCCAGACATGGGACTCGACACTCATGGCTATAGGCTTACTTCACTCGGCTCACCATGCCATTGACGAAGAAGCGAGAGCAGAAGTCGACGTGCTCAACTCTCGCCTCGAAAAGACAAACCAGCTGACCAAGAAGATTCAATTTTGCTTGGGCCACCTTGAGGCGTCTGGACAGAGCGTGCGCGAAGTGGCTGGTCCACTCAGCGGCGAGACAAAGCGCCTTCAGTTGCTGGGAAACAGTAAGCTCCCTATCCATCGCCTCTCTCAATCCTGTTTGCCGCGGCGACTTGTGCTAAGCTGTTGCAGATGTCGATGCCGTGCTCGCCGCCATTGAGCGGCTACGTCAGCCTGCCGACAGCAAAGACAATGAGGAGCAGATAATACGCGCCGGGCCTGAAAAGGCTGGGTTGTCCAACTACTTGGCCTGCCTCAAGCGCCTCAACAGATCCTTCAACGACATGCAGGCCTCCAATCTGCGTGCCAATCAACACACCATGGCCGACCTCACCCGCCTCATCACAACTGGCAGTTCTCAACTCGAGAACTACTTCGACAAGCACCTGCGAGGGGAGACGCCTCGCTCCATTGAACCCCTCCACTTCATTACAAAGGACAAGTCCTTCCCTGTCCTGTCACAAGATATAACCACGCGACTGGGGCTCGTCTACGCTCACCTGAGTAGCAGCAACCTACACGGAGGCCATGATTCCCCAGTCTCCAGCATATATGCCGAAGTTCGCGGGCCGTACTTGTCGTCGTCGCTGGCCAACCTGGCCGCGGCCAGTGTCAACACAGCCAAGAAAAAGAACCCTGGAGCCATGTACCGGGCAGGCACCAACGGCATAGGTACTTATGCCAAAGCCATGGAAGGCATCTTCTTGTCGGAGTACGACAATATCTGCAGCATTTTCACACGTGATGTTTGGGGTACTCTATTTCAATTCACCTGCCAAGCCGCTCTAACCGAGCTGGCGCGGACTATTCGAGAGCTCAACGCTCACATCAAGGCTCACCTTGGCACCGACTGCTATCTGGCCTATGAAGTCACCGATATCCTCTCCAACATATCCGGGAACTTGGACGCAAGAACCGGCGAGCTAAAGGCGTCGCTATCAGCCGCCCTAAAGCCTGTTCGAGAGACGGCGAAGCTGTCACTCGCCGAACTGCTTGAGGACACGAAGCGCAAGGTTGGCGGCGTGCAGGCCTTGCAGCCAGATGGGGCGTCAACACCACTCGTCTCGGAATTAGTACAGCGGCTACAGGCCATGGTAGCGTTTCTGCGCCCCATCTCGAGCATCATGATATCGTTGGGCGACGGCGGGTGGAAAGCAAACGCTGCATCCAGCGGCCGCGCGGCCGATGCCATTCCCAGCCTGGTATCATTCGACATCGGCGCAGACGGCCGAGACCTCTTTGCGCATTACTGCCTAGACTCCATCGATATTCTTTTGTCCTCTCTGGAGCAAAGGGCCAAAGCCTTGCTGAGGAGTAAAGCAGTTGTTGGCGTCTTCATCGCCAACAGTGTCGTCATCATCGAGCGCATGGTGCGAGACTCTGATCTTGGCCCACTATTGGATTCTCGCCTCGACACGCTCGAGCAATGGCGCAAAAAGGCCACGGCGTCATACACTGATATCTGCAAAGATCTTTCGGTCTATTTGTTCGACACCATCCACACCAACCGTTCACAACGACCAACCTCGGGCCAAACTGACTCGGCGTCGGTTGTCAAAGGACTCAGTAGCAAGGACAAGGATAAGATCAAGGAAAAGTTCACGCAGTTTAACGGCGCTTTCGACGATATGGTTTCTAAGCATAGGTCTTACAGCATGGAGCGAGAAGTTCGCGCTATGTTTGGAGAGGACATTCGCCAAAAACTGCAGCCACTCTATGATCGCTTCTGGGATCGCTATCATGAAATTGATAAGGGCAAAGGCAAGTATGTAAAGTATGATAAGTCTTCTATTGCAGCGGTATTCCTTAGCTTAGCCTCGTAAAGGTTATTTAATTATTTATTAACTATAAATTTATAAGATATCCTTTAGTAAGAGGGATCTAAGAAGCTAAAAAGACTAATATAAGAAATAGAAAAAGGAGCTAAAAGATATATAAAAAGTAAGGTAAAGGAGTATAATAGGTTGGCCCTATAGAGGCTAAAGCGGTAGTTATACTATTATTCGTTACTATAGGGCAGCTATCTAGTACTACTATATTAAATAGTAGTAGAGGGTAAAAGAAGATAAATTAACTAAGCTACCTAGCTAGTTAATTAACTACGCTTATTAATAGTTAGTTATTATAAGAATATACCCTTATATTCCTATTTTACTATTATAAAGAAATAATAAGTATAGGGAGACTCTATAAAATAAGCTAGTAAAAAGAAGCTTTATAATATAGTTTAAGAGAATAACCCTTAAAGATAAAAGACCTTTACTAAATATCTATAGCTTTATTAAGGAAAAGTAAGTTAAGATAAGCCTATCTTAATAAATAAGAATATATATAAAATATATAAGTTTATTATAAGTAAAATAGATACCTAATTACCTATTTTAGCCTAGCGGTTTTAAAGATATCTACGATATAAGAATAGGTAGGGTATATAATATTTTAGTTAAATCTACTACTTATACTAAAACCTATAGTCTTATATAACTATTACGCTATAATTAAACTACTTACTAAGTTCGGAGGATATACTATAAATAGAGCTTTTTAAGTACTATAAAATATACTAGAAAGCTAACTAATTAGTTTACTAGTAAGCGAGTAATAGTCTATAAAGGATAAAGGATTTCCCTAAGAGTAGTAAGTAAAATAAGTAAGTTTATAAGTATCTTTTATAACGCTATTCTTTTAATATATTATTTAGCCCCTTATATACTTATTATAAATTCTAAACGAAATCCTACCTTATACTTTATTAACCGCTCTTTTTACTTATATTATTATTAATATTATTATTAAGATTACGCTAAGGACCTAGCTAGAGGTATCTAGAACTTTAATATTAAATAAGAGGGAAAAACTAGAGTGCTTAAGGGAAAACCCTCCCCTCTTTTAGTATAGGTCCGCCTCGAATAAGGTCGTAATAGCAATATATAGGAAATTTACGCCGGCTACCGCGGGCTCCTCCCGCGAAGTTATATCTTAGCGTAGGCCCTCTTAGGCTATAGCCGCTACTATCTTAAGCGGCCGCGGCCCGGGCTCGCTAGCCTAGGCCTAGGGTTATAGGCAGTAGTCTCTCTCTAAGGGCCTAACTCGCGGGCGCCTCTATTTACCCTAGCTCCTACGTCGTAGCCGCATAGCCGCGGTCGCGTTAGCTTATTAGTCCGTTAGTTAGTAGGGCAGGTAATGTCCGGTTACTAGGCCGGGCGCTAGTATAGGTCGCTCCTAGGTAGGGCCGGTAAATCGAAATTCGGTCGGCTAGCTCCGCTAATCGTAAATTAGTTCCCATCTAACTACGCGACTTCTTAATCGAGGGCGCGGCGGCCTATATTTACCTTCTATCTTATAGTTACTAATTACGCGCGCCTAGCTCGCGCTTATATATACCTACCCTCCCTCCTTAGTTTTATACGTACCTTCTCTTATCCCTTTATTATCTATCTCTTTTATAGGCTTAACTACTACCTCGCTTACCTTATTTCTATAACTCTAGGTCTCCTTAGTACTATATTTAATTTGCCTTTTTTTTAATATATTATTACTTATATATAGCTTCTAGGGCTATAGTAAGGCTAATAATGGCCTAGGCCCCTATTAATAGTCCTAGCTAGTTAAAAAAAATTTTTATATTATTACTTATATATAGCCTCTAGGGCTATAGCGATCCCTAATTAGTTATAAGCCCCCGGGCTCTATAGCTAGCTAGGGCTACTAATAGGGGCCTAGGCCCTTATTAGCCTCGCTATAGCCCTAGAGGCTATATACGAGTAATAATATAAAAAAAAAACCCCTATATAAGAGGAACTAAATTAACCTTTCCTTTATCTCTACCTTTATAGGTACCCTTTCCTTAATTAGTTATAAGCCCCTAGGCTCTATAGCTAGCTAGGGCTACTAATAAGGGCCTAGGCCTTTATTAGCCTCGCTATAGCCTTAGAGGCTGTATATAAGTAATAATATAAAAAAAGAAAAAGTAGTATAAGTTCGTTCTTATCTTCCGTTTCTCTAGGTATTTCTTATTCTTTAAAGCTTATATCGTCGATACTTCGTTATTCCTCTTTAGGTTATTATTTAAGTTTCGTAAGTATAAGGGCTATATCTATATCTTCTTTATTATATTACTTATAGACTACCTATCGTTATTATCGATTTTTATTTTATATATCTTCTTAGAATCGTTTACTATTCTTCTTAATCTAGTCTTAAGAGACTCCTTTAAGATAGGGGTATTCTAGTTCTACGAATTTAACTTATTTCTATATTTTAGGATCCCTTTATTATATTATTATAAGGGTCTTCTTTAGTAGCTTTAGGAACTATCTAGTACTATTCTTATCGCTTAAGTATACCGTATATTCGTCGTCGTAGTATATAGTTTAACTAAGGAGTTTATACTTTAGTTCCTATCTATTAGTAGCGTTTAGGTATTTCTTACCTTTTAAGGCTAGTACCTAGTAGGTTTTCTTCTCCTTACGAGGTTATCTATATTCTTTAAAGTAATATCTAAGTTTCCTATAGTTAAAATACTTTCTTTTACTTTTCTATATTATATCTAGATCTATCCTACCTAGGTTAGTTATATAGGCGTAGGTAATAGGAGTTTCGCGCTTCTTTTTATAGTTAGCGCGTCGGTTAAAGTTATTCTTATAGGAAAGGTTTTAGTTTCCTCTTCCTTATTTCTTTTCTTAGTATCGCGTATACTATCTATCGTCGATTCGTACTACTATAGTAATATAGTCTAAGAGGTTATTAGGTCGATTTTCCTTATAAAGTTCGTCCTTAACTTCTTCTTTAAGCTTATTATAGAATTATAATATAAGAGGTTCGTTATCTTAATTAAGCTTTAAGGTAACTTATTAGAACTTTATAGTATAATTTAATACTAAGATCCTTTATTAAAGTTCTCGAAGTTTTTATTTAGCTTCTTATTCCTTATTAGTTATTCTAAATACCTTTATAATAGCTTCTTTAAATCCTTAGAAACTAGTAAAGACTTTATCTATCTCGTTATCTCGTCGCGCTAGTTAGTTATCGAGAAAGTCCCTTATAATAGGTCTAAACTAAGCGAGTACCGTTCTAAATAAATAATTTCCTACGTAGAGTACCTTTTTAACTAAGTCTAAAAGTTTAATAAGGTAAAACCGGTAGTAGGCCTTAAGTTAGGTAAGAAAGTCTTAAAGCGTACTATAAGTACCGTCGAATAGTCCTAGCTATTTTAGTTTAACTACTTCTCCGAGGTCCCTAACTTATCCGTTGCCTCTTTTATTCCTAAGTAACTATACTTTATATTAAAGGGTAATAATCTCGCGTATTATATCCTAAGGCGATATAGTAGCTATAGAGTTAGTTAATCTAGTTTACTATATAGGTATATTAATAGTTACGATATTACTTAGAGTAACGCGGTATTATACTAAATAAGAGCTTTTAATATATAACGACCGGTATTATTCCTAAGGGATAAACCTATCGAGGGATTATTATTATATCTTTTTAGCTAACTTTTCGAAACCGAGCTTAAAATATAAAAAAACATATACCTAGAACCCTCGCGAATAGTATATTACGCCCCCCTAAGTATAGCCTCGCGTAGCTACTAGCGGGTGCCTAATATACTGCCGAAGATAGCGAGCTAGGCTAGGTTTTCCCTTATATAGGTAGAAAACTCTTCCCTGCCCCCGCTAACTAATACGTACCCCCCGTAAACGCAACTAAGCCCGGACCCGACCTAGGACCCCGGCCTAGGCCCTAGGCGGGCCCCCCCCCCTTACTTTAATATAAGGGACGAAATAAGTACCCTAGAGGCTAGGGCCCGCTTAAAAGAAGCCTTAGAAGGCTAACGCCCTCTAAGGACCTTAGAAGGGAATCCTAAAGCCCGAGACTAAGACTAAGGCTAAGAGGATATTAAGATAAAAGATAACGAAATAAGCCTAGTACCTACCTAGGCTACTAGCCCGATCTAGCCTAGCGGGCCTAGCGGGCCTAAGATTAGTATCTTTAAGCCTAGCCTATCCCTACCTTAGGCTAACTACTTCTAACTAAACTAGCCCTTAAAGTAGGTAAAGGGATAAAAGAGGGCTGCTCTTAGTAGCCCTATTAGCCCTATGCCTACCCGGCTTATACTTTAACGCCTATAGTAATAGTAGCCCTAGCCCTAGCCCTAGCACCCCTTCCTAAGGGACCGGGCCTAGGGCTTCCTTTAATAGGCCCTCTAGGCCCTTAAGGAAGCCTAAAAATTCGAACCCTTTTATAAGACCCTTATAGAAGGGCTCGAAAAGGCAGCTATAGGGACCCCGGACCGCTAATAGCCCCCGTAACAGCCCCCGCAATAGCCCCCGTTGTTACGACCACGGCTACTAGGCCGCTGACAATCGACCGCGTTAAGCACGTGACACGGCCTAACGGATAAATAGTCGGCACGACCATCTAATAGTTATAGGATCGAGGGGATCGCAGAGATCTAAGTAATCTAGGATTAACGGGATTACTGCGCCCTATGCGATCCAACGTTAGGGATCATAGCCAGGCCTATAATCTAAGGACAGTCTCTATAGGTATATATAGCCACCTACTTTTACTCCTTTAGATAGATAGCTCTCTAGCTTTTAACATAGATCTTTATTACGATTCTATCTCTAATTTTAATTACCTAGTTATAGTCTACGGTCTACGACCTCCGACTTATTACTAACGTAATATACTTATTATTGCTTAGACCACGCCCTATTATATCTACTAATATAAACCCCTCGATAGGTTTATCCCTTAGGAATAACACCGGTCGTTATACGTTAAAAGCTCTTATTTAGTATAATACCGCGTTACT